CATAACTAAGTTATCATTTTATAAATCAAAGTTACATACTTAAATGAATGACAAGCTATTTTCTTTCATTAAAACTCAGAAAAGAAAAACGACACAAAAAGATGACAAAAATCGTAACAAAAATAGCTCGACACGGCTGCTAAATCGTGAAAAAAGCAGAGCCGAACACGGCTGCTAAATCATAAACAAAAAACAGCTCGAACACAGCTGCCTATCACCAAACAAATAAAATATTAACCACAAGCCGAACGCGGCTGCACACACAAACACAGCTAGACGTGGCTGCTTCAAACTTAATAGTTTGGTCACAATAACTAGAGAACAAAAAAACCCCGTGCAGTTAGCGGTGGTAAAAGAATAAACTTGGACTTACCAGTCATGAAGTTTGTATAAAGTGATACAGCTTGTGCAGCCTCTGGAGGGCGAAAATTACACAGCTCCGACCGAAGTCGCGAGGCTACCAGCGTCAAGTCGAAACAATTTCAAAGAGGGTCTTACCACCTGTTCAACCTGCATGTGAGAAGATGAAAAGGAACTGAGCTACCGTGTCACGTGACTATATAGACTACCGGTGTCACTGGGGGTCACACGTGACTATGTTGGCATAAGATACTCGACCTGCGCATGTGCAAGGATGATCATTCAGTGCTTCAGTAGGGATGAAACAGAACAGGCAGTTCCAGACGCAGCGTACAGACTGTCATGATCTGTGTGTTTTTGCTTTAGTTTTCTAGTGTTTCAGTGTTCCTCTGCCCTGCCCCAGCCCCGCCCAAGCTCACCTGTTTCCTCTTGTGTCTCCTCCAGGTGTTTCTTATTGTCCTTAATTAGTTTCTCTTTATATTCTGTGTTCTGTCCTCTGTGCTTTGTGCGATCATTGTGCTGTTACCAKCCAGTGTAGTGTGTTCTGTATTCCGTGTTTCCCCAGAGAGGATTCTTTAAGTTTTGAGCTGCCTTGTCAGCCTTTTGGTTTGCTTTTTAAAGATCTTATTTTTGCCTTTTTGAACCTGCCTGCACAATCTTCACACAGACAGTTTGTGGCTTTGCACTACTGGTCAGAGCAGGCTGCTGAGTGTGGACAATCCAGGACTGCTTTCCACAGCTTCATGGACAATACAGGGCATTTATTCCCTTGGGGCTATAAAATTTGAATACTGTCTTGCAGTGTATAAAACATGTTCCTATTTAAAATAATATTTCTATTAGAATTTTTGTAATTATTCTTCAAAAAAGTGTTAAATGGTTATTTTTTAGTAACTGTTTATTTGTTAGAACTAAAGCATCACTTTACCATTGAACATTACTGAATTATCTTTTGATCAATTACAAAACACAAACTTACAGGGCTNTGCCACCATTTGTTTAATTTTTTTTTTTTTCATTATTGCACCATGATAATATCACATGTGTAACCAGCACTTCTGTATTTATGTGGCCTGCCCTCTTCTGATGGATGGGCCGAAAAGAAAACAGCCACAGGCATATTTTAATGCACCGAGATATTGTAACAGGCTGCAACTCCCTTCTGGCTTTTACTGAGGTGTCCGTTTTGCTGAGAATTATGCTGCGTTCACGTTGCCTCGGAAATTGGAGCACAAGTGTTTTGAACAACGTCAGACCCGACTTACTGTAGTTAACTGTTGTGCTGAAGGCAGGCTAAGTACCAGAACCAAGTTAGCAATTTCTCTGAACTGTGAGCATTACGACACTTCTTTACTAAGAAACGGTGAACAGTACTGTTTTGTGGTTTTCGACTTGAAACCCATAAAATCCGACAGCGGACTGGAACGCACCGTTTTCGGCATTTCTACTAAAGTTTCTCAAGGATATCCGCTGAGGAAAAATAAGGTGTGTGTTTGTGTGTTTAAACTGACACAAATGTTTAAAACCATGTGTAGCTATTATTATTATTATTATTATTTTTATTATTATTTACCGGAAATCAGTTTTAGCTAGCTTCTGCTACGCTCACGTGATGACGTCTGCTACGCTCACGTAAGTTGCTTTATTTATTTATTTTTTAAGTGAACAGTTTGGTTCAGATTTTACATTGACGGAGCGTGACGTCACTCATACGTTTATTGAATATTTATGCAAATTAGCGAATCCAGGTCCGTTACGTCACTTATAGAATAGAATCATTCTTTGACTCGGGGCTACCTAACTTGGTCAGATCTTGCTAGGGAAGAACCAGTTACGATTGTTGCTCTGCACTAAAACTTGAATTTGCTACTGCGTTTTTTTCTGGGAAGGCCAGTCAAATATTTATTGATCCCAAAGGACTTTATTTTGCTGCAAAAAAATGGGAAACTGTGTTGCTAAACAAAACGCAAACCAATTCCCAGCTCGATTAACATCCAATTATGTTACTGAAAGGTTCTTGGGTGAAGGAGTATTTGGACAGGTTATCAGGTGTCGAAAAGTGTCCACAAATGAAACTATGGCAGTAAAAATGTTTACCAGGGATGGCAGCGAATATGCAAAAGATGAGCTATTCGCAATGAAGGATCTGCGAAACTTAGATAGCGATCGGTACAATTTGGTAAAATTTTATGAACATTTTATGTACAATGGAGGGTATTGTCTTGCTTTTGAAAATCTTCACATTTCTCTTTTTGATTATCTGGAAAGAAGAAATTTTAAGCCAATGTCAGTTAGTAAAATACGAGCAATTACTCAACAGTTGCTGGTAGCATTAGATGGGTTAAAAAGCTTGAACCTTGCTCACTGTGATATTAAACCGGATAATGTTATGCTAGTTTCTAAGTCGTCACTGAGAGTAAAACTTATTGATTTTGGCTTATTAAAACATACATCAATAATGGAGCAAGGCGAACTCATGCAAAACGGTTCCTACAGGGCTTTTGAGGTCATGCTGGGACTGCCACTTGACGAAGGCGTAGATATGTGGTCTTTAGGATGCACTTTGGCGTTCCTTTATTATGGTGAACACCTATTTCCAGAAGATGAACAAGAGGTTATGAGCATGGTTTTACAGCTGGTAGGAAAACCAGACAATGAGTTATTGGAACAGGGGTTATATACTAAAGATTTTTTCACCCGTCTTCCTGGATACCCTGCAGACTGGAAGTTGAAATCACCAATGTATGAGGATTGTTCAGACTGGTGGGACCATGGTGGAAGATTTTCAAAACAGGGACTCACAGACTATTTAGCTTTTCAAAACCTCCTGAAAAGAATGCTGGAATTGGATCCAAAGAAGCGAATCACTCCCTCTGAAGGGCTTGATCACACATTTATAACAATGAAACATCTTTCTGAAAAATTTGACAGAAAATATTTTATCCAGGCGAACAAGGTAATGACTGAATGTGGTCTACAGCCTGCAATGGAACCTCATGATGGAACATTAGATGAACCGTCCATTCACAAGCCAGAGGAAACATTTACAGAGGCTGAAAAAATTAGTAGTGAGTGCGACAAGAAGACTAGTCCAGTGGTGAATTCTCGTACGTCCACCAAATCTGAAAGCAGTACGAGTGATATTCACGAGAAGCCGTTGAAGCCAGTCTCTTTAACCGAAGACTTAAAAAGCCAGGAAGAATCAGAAAAATCAAGTGCTTCTACGGGAGCACACTACACCTTTCCATCTTATCACTCAAGTTCCTGGTCGACAACTGACTCCATCGATTCTGGGTCGACAAGCTTAGAAAAAGCCACCACTGCCAAAATCTTCAAGAAGGATCAAATATCAACGAAGCCAGCACCTTCAACAACACCTTCAAGTGAAGTCTCCCACACCCTGACGAGTGATAATAGATACACTACTTCACCATTTGTAGAAGACTTCAGTTATTCAGGTTCCAGCTATGAAATTTCAAGTTACAGCGAATACACCTCCACAGAAAGACCCAAAAAAACCATCTGGAAAAAGATGAAGCAGTTCTTTTCAAGGATTTTACGGCCCAAGAGGAGAAGAGTGACTTTTGAAAATTCTTTTTAATGAATTTTGTATATGATGTTGAATAACCAGAGTCAGAATCAGAATTTAATTTATTGTTCAGCTATTTGTGAACAGAAGGAATTTGATGTGATGAAAAAAATGGGGTTTTATTTATATGGTCTCCATGCCTGCCTGCCTCCTACGCCCGGGTGAGTGAGTGTGTGTGTGTGCATGTGTGCCTGCCTGCCTCCCACGCCCGGGTGAGTGAGTGTGTGTGTGTGTGCATGTGTGCATGCGTGCCTGCCTGACTCCCACACCCGGGTGTGTGTGTGCATGCCTGCCTCCCACACCCGGGTGTGTGTGTGCATGCGTGCCTGCCTTCCTGCCTCCCACACCCGGGTGTGTGTGTGCGTGCGTGGGTGCCTGCCTGCCTGCCTCCCACACCCGGGTGTGTGTGTGCGTGCGTGGGTGCCTGCCTGCCTGCCTCCCACGCTTGTGTGTGTGTGTGCGTGCCTGCCTCCCACACCCGGGTGTGTGTGTGTGTGTGTGTGTGTGTGTGTGCCTGCCTGCCTCCCACACCCGGGTGTGTGTGTGCCTGCCTTCCTCCCACGCCCGGGTGTGTGTGTGCGTGCCTGCCTGCCTGCCTCCCACACCCGGGTGTGTGNCCTCCCACGCCCGGGTGTGTGTGTGCGTGCCTGCCTGCCTGCCTCCCACACCCGGGTGTGTGCGTGCCTGCCTTCCTCCCACGCCCGGGTGTGTGTGTGCGTGCGTGTGTGCCTGCCTGCCTCCCACGCCCAGGTGTGTGTGTGTGTGCGTGCGTGCCTGCCTGCGTGTTTGTGTGCCTGCCTGCCTGCCTCCCACGCCCGGATGTGTGTGTGCGTGCCTGCCTGCCTGCCTCCCACANCTCCCACATCTGGGTGTGTGTGTGCGTGCCTGCCTGCCTGCCTCCCACATCTGGGTGTGTGTGTGCGTGCGTGCCTGTCTCCCACATCTGGGTGTGTGTGTGCGTGCCTGCCTGCCTGCCTCCCACATCTGGGTGTGTGTGTGCCTGCCTGCCTGCCTCCCACAGCTGGGTGTGTGCGTGCGTGCCTGCCTGTCTCCCACATCTGGGTGTGTGCGTGCCTGCCTGCCTGCCTCCCACAGCTGGGTGTGTGCGTGCCTGCCTGCCTGCCTCCCACAGCTGGGTGTGTGCGTGCCTGCCTGCCTGCCTCCCACAGCTGGGTGTGTGTGTGCCTGCCTGCCTGCCTCCCACAGCTGGGTGTGTGTGTGCCTGCCTGCCTGTCTCCCACACCCGGGTGTGTGTGTGTATGTGTGCCTGCCTGCCTGCCTTCCACACCCGGGTGGGTGTGTGCGTTCCTGCCTGCCTGACTCCCACGCTTGTGTGTGTGTGTGCGCGCACCTGCCTCCCACACCCGGGTGCGTGTGTGTGCATGCGTGCCTGCCTTCCTGCCTCCCACACCCGGGTGTGTGAGTGCGTGCGTGGGTGCCTGCCTGCCTCCCACGCTTGTGTGTGTGTGGGCACCTGCCGGGAGGAACAGCACCCTCGATCCGAACCCGAGTGGTGCCCCGCCACCGGACCTCTGTGCTAGTCGTGGACAGTCCACAACAAACACCATGCCCAAACACAAGGGCATCCACATGTGCTCTCAGCACAAGGACACCCCAGGCCGCAGCCCAAAGATCAACTCCGCTGCCATTCCATCTGATCCGCGGTCACACGTCCTCACCGAGCCCGAGCAGGCCATGTTCCATGCCTTCGTTGTCAAGGCGGCTTGCCTGAGCTGTGGCCGTGGGGTTGTTGGGGGGGGGGGTCCTGTAGGGGTCTTGCGTGGCATCAAGTTCAGTCCTCTGGACAGGATTTCGGTTTCTGGCTGGGTGAGTTCTCTGTCAGATAAWTTCTTCACCCACTTCTCTGTCTCCCTGGCATTTGCTTGTGCTCCTGTGTGTTGTTCCACCTTCTGTGAGTTGTTGGAATTACGAAGGGACTGTTGAGTTACCAGTAAATTGAACTTCTTTTGTTGTCGGGTCTTAGATTTTACAGAAAAGGCAGGCTTACCTCAGCATATCAAGTCCAAGACCTGACAACAAAAGAAGTTCACTTTACTGGGGGGGCGATGGCCCTCTTTTGCATGTGACTAACCTGTTTGTCCACCATGTGGAGACGGTGCTTACAAGGCTGAGTTCACCTGAAACTCATCAGACTGAAGAAGTCTTTTGGAGGAGAGATAAATGTTTCACCAAAGAAGAACCCATCCAGAGGACCTACTTATTTTTTCTTTTTGGCACACCATGATGTTAAAGGAACAAAGAGCCATTTCATTTCCAGATTTGAACTTTTTATAATGATATTATTTTATTTTTTAAAAATTGTTGTATAAAACAATAGCTGTGTGTTGTGTTAAATGTGGACACTGACAGTCAGTTACAGTCTGATGGGTTTAAATCACCTCCTCCTTTGAATCGTCACCTTACCGTGGTGGAGGAGTTTGTGTGCCTGAATAATCCTAGGAGCTATACAATAGAAAATGCCCCTGGTGGGGTCTCCAAAGGCAGATTATGTAACAGGCCAGACAAAGAACGATTCAAAACCAAAACCCAAAGAATAAAAATGAGTTTTAAGTGAAGCTTTAAAATGAGCTAATGTAGAGGCCTGACATGCAAAGGCAAGAAGTTTAATTCCTACAAAAATGTCTGAGTGTGACTCTAAAAGGCTTCCACCCAACAGACCTGTTAAACTGAATTTAATGTTTTTCAGCAAGAATTCAGGCTGCTTTAGGAAATCAGGTTAAAGAGTCTGCTGAATGAAAACAAGCGGCATGGCAGTGGTTGATTGGTAGTTTTATTTTTGCACACACCTGCTTGCAGTTAACTATCGGAGGAGAGAAAAAAGTGGTTTAGCCATTTAAATAATAAAGTTTCTTGTTATCTTGTTTTGTTTTCAGAGAAGGGCATCGGTCACACTGCTCACTATAAACTCGCCTCCACCATCACGCTGTGGCTTCAGACAAACAAGACCGGCTCTGGTACCATGAATCTGGGGCGGGCAGCCTCACAGGACAGGTAGAGTMCTGCTCTAAACAGGAGTACTTGTTGACGATGTTATTCTGGAAGTCAAACTGTATCTCCACCTTTTCACAGATGAAGAAAGACGAGACGGTTGGAGAATCCTCACCTCAACGTCGCCAACATCGGACGCCTTGTTGAGGTCAGTGTAGATGGGTCCTAAAGTCAGAAACAAATTGTGGGTCAGGAAAAGACGTACAGTAGATATTCAAGATAAAAATTAAGAGATAAAAACCCAGACCAGGTCTTGTTTCGGGATGTGGAGAACAAGATTCCCTCCACACTGAATTTAATTTGCTTTGGGAAAACTGAGGACACTGTAAAATATAAAAGGGATTTCAGAAAAAAATCACGAAAAGATGTGTTTTCGTGTTTAAGTAGGAATTAAAAAAAAAACTAAAGTTGGAGAAGAAAGCAAAGTTTTCTTGATTAAATATGTAGCTGCATGATCTATAAACCTGAGTTGTGTAGGGTGTAATGTGCATGTTGGTCATGGTGTTGAGTTCTGAGCAGCTCTGTTTACCTGCAGTCTAACAAATGACCTGAGTGGGTAACATACTAAGGGACTGATTTATCAAGATGCCAGATAACGAGTACTAATTTGCACAGCAAATTAAAAAAATAGTCTGTGCTAAAAGTGGGCATGTTGCGTGTGACTTACAAAGACTGCGTGTGCAAAGAACAACAGGTGCAAACGTGGGGCAGACGGCTCTGTTGAAATGAGGATGTAGCATGTGGTGGGAGGCAAAGAAATTGTTTAACTTATTTGTTGTAATTATCTTGAATTTAACTGTGATACTTTGACATCAACTTTAACCAAAGTATGCATCACAGACCTCTCCACCTGCGGCAGATGTGTCAAAAGTATTCCTTCTGTTTAGAAAAAATCAATTATCATTCTGATTCCCAAATAAAATCAAATCCATCTGATAATAATGACTACAGGACAGTGGTTTTAACATCAGTGGTAATGAAGTGTTTGGAGAAATATGTTGTGTCCCTCTGGAAGACAGAAATAAATCCTGGTCTTGATTCTTTCCAGTCCACTTACAGACAAGGACGAGGTACTGATGATGCCATTAATGGCATCACACATCTCACACTTAATTAAACACTTTGAAAATTCAAAGGCTTTTGCTCGTCTTTTGTTTATAGATTTTAGCTCTGCTTTTAATACCCTACAGCCTCACCTGCTCATTAACAAATTACAGCAGGTGAATCTTAATCCCTTTTTTATTAAATGTTTTTATTGTTTTTTTAACAAATGGAGTACAGCTTGTTAGTGTTAACAACACTATCTGAGCCAAGGTCAGCACAGATGTTCCTCAAGGTTGTGTCTCTCCTCTTTACTGTTTATACAAATGACTGCATCAGTATTTGCTCGGAGAATTTTGTTTTTAAATTCTCAGATGATACTGCCATTCTTAGCCTGCTGGATGAAGGCATGGACCCCTCACAATATTTTAATGAGGTTCAGTCATTTGTTCAGTGATGTGATGACCACCACCTTATTGTCAATACTAGGAAAACAGAGATGCTGAGTGACCCCAAGTCTGTAGGCGACAATTTCCCACTTTTTATTCACGACCAGAAAATAAACCAGGTCTGTTCTTACAGATATCTGGGGGTTCACCCAGATAATCTGTTTAAGTGGGAGATTCATGTTAATATGCTGTGTTCCCGTCTGGGGCAGAGATTGTATTTTTTTTATGCAGACTCAGAGTGTTTGGGGTTAACCAGAAACTTGTGTTTTTATTCTAGCAGGCTGTTGTGGGAAGCATCGTCAGGTTTGGAATGTCAGCATGGTATGGCAACCTTTCTGTGCAATTAAAATCTAAACTTGGTTGCATGGTGCAAACGGCACTGAAGGTGATAGGAAGGACTGGCAACTCTTCCTTGCAGTCCGTCTATGAAGAGTCTGTCCTCAGACTTGCTCGGAGGGTGCTGTCTGACCCCGCTCACAATATGAACTCTTACCATCTGGAAACACTTTAGAATTCCTGCTTGTCGACTCAACAGATTTATAAATTCATTTCTTCCTCCTACATCAATCAGACTGTTAAAGTAGGCATATAGTGTTTTGCCGTGCTACTTATGCTTTGATTTGGTTTTACATGCTAGAAGGTATGTGGAAATGTGCAATATGTGTTTATTGAGAAATATGTGTTTTATCAATCAATTTGTGTTTTATTAAGCAATATGTTTTTAATTTTTGAGGTGTTCACATGACTTTTTATTGTTGTTTGTAGTGTATTAATTGTAGAAGCAGCTTTGTTTGGCGTACGTTTCCCTTTGGGGACAGTAAGGTACCTACCTACCTACCTACCTACCTACCTACCTACCTACCTACCTACCTACCTACCTACCTACCTACCTACCTA